TTATTTCTAAAAAATAAAATTGTTTAAATAATCTTTAAATATCATTTATGTCAATATGATGCATTATATACCTAGATCAACCCTCCATATTAACTCTTAATTTTGATGGGGTTAATAAATTTTAAGACAGTGAATGAAATATTCTTTTTTTAAGAGGTTCACATTTAGAAATATTTAAAAATATTTCTTTAGGGGAAAAAAAAAATTGCCACCTGAGCTGTTAGGAAAGTAAAGGAAATCCCTGAGGTCCAAATTTTTTTAAAAAATCCAGAGAGGTAATCTGGTATTAGGGCTAGAATTTGCCATGAAGGAATATGCATATTCCTAGTAGCCTACAGCAGAGGTCAGGAATTTTTTTCTCTAAAGGACTTGCTGTTATGTGCTGTCGAGTTGGACCCAACTCATAGTGACCCCTCCATGGGTTTCTGAGGCAGTATCACTATGGAAGTAGATTGCTCAACCTTCCTTCCGAGGAGTGGCTGGTGGGTTTGAACCACCAGCTTTCTGGTTAGCAGTCAAATGCCTTAGGCACTATGCCACCAGAGCTCCTAATAGTATATATTTTAGGGTTTGAAGACCATGTAGTCTCTGTCACAACCACTCAATTCTGCCACTGTAGCATGATAGTAGCCACAGATAATACACAAACACATCAACATGGCTACGTCTCCATAAAACTTTATTTACAAAATACAGGCAGCAGGCTGGATTTGGCCTGCAGGCTGTAGTTTGCCAATCCCTATATTATAGCATGGTTTTTAATGTTTTTCCCTCTTAAAAAAAAAAAAAAAAAAAACATGTCTGGTATATAACAAATGTCCCATGTGATAGATTGTTGAAATCTCATTAAGAAAAAAAAAAAGTTGAGTCAATTTCAACTCAGCAACCCTAGAGGACAGAATAAAACTGTCCCATAGGATCTCCAAAGTTGTAAATCTTTATAGAAGCAGATTGTCACATCTTTCTCCAGTGAGCAGCTGATGGCTTCAAACCTATGACATTTTGGTTAGCAGCTGAGCATTTAACCACTGCACCACCAGGACTCCTTTTGATTGTTGAAATAATGGTCTCCAATTCCTTCATATCTCCCTGTATCCATGCCATTGAGGACCCGTGGGCTAAACCATGTGACTTGCTTTGTCCAATGGAACAGTAGTAAATATGACACAGTCTTAGAAATTGCTAGCAGAATGGGGCTTGTCCTCTCTTGATGCTCCTAGGATCTCTGCAGCCACCACCATGTGAATTAGCCCTGGCATAGTGGCTAAGGCACTTGACTGCTAACCAGAAGGCTGGTGGTTCAAACCCACCAGGCACTCCTTGGAAGGAAGGTTGGGCAATCCTACTTCCCTTGGAAACCCAAGGAAGGGTCGCTATGAGTCAGGGCTGACTCCACGGCACATAACACCAACAAACCTGCTGAAGATATTATTAGTCCCAGTCATTCCCATGACCCCAGACAATAGCTACCACCAACCAGCAGCTAATACCAATTGCCAAACAAATGAGTGAAGCCATCCTACATCAACCAGCCCCCAGGCAACATAGCAGTTGACTGTAACCAGTTGTGAGAGCAAGTGAGACCAACTGCCAAGCTGGGCTCTGCCTAAATTGTTGACCCACAGAAACATAAACTAATAAACGATTAAAAGTTTTCGAGAGATTGTCTAAAGCAAAAAGCTAAATGGCACATTCTATAGAAAGTTTATTATTTTCTAAAAATATAAAGTGAGAAATCAACAACTATAGAAATGGGAACAAGAAGACTGAAAAAACACATAAAATTATATTTCCATTTTCAGGACCCTGTCACCCACCAATAGGGACAAGCCCTCACTTGTTCCTTCTAATAGTCTAACAAAGAAAATTCTTCCTACCTGAACAGACTTCTTGATAAGTAGGATTGGAAGTATAGCCTCCTGCATAACCAACTTGAGTTGAATACACTCCTTTCAGAATCCAGAATTTCCTTTCAGCTCCCCAAAAACAGCCCATTCCTAAGAGGAAAATAAGACACTGATTAATCCATTCTCAAAAACAAGGTGGTCAGTGCACATTTGAATACCTGTTACACTAGTACAGAAGTGGTTCCTGTCATTTGAGAATCAATAATGACTAAAATTTATCTTTTAAAGAAGAGATTTTTTAACATTTAAAAATAATTTTATTTAAGGTGGTTTGCACAAAATATCTCTTTGCTTTAGATGCACAAAAACTTAGAAAGCCTCAAATTTCGATGGAGTTAGAAAACGTACACACTTTCAAAATAACACAACAAAATGATTACTCAGTATTTTTATAAATGATTGGCACACTTGATAGTAACTTGTATTACTTGTAGACATTAACATAATGATTAGCTTCCTGGTCATGCTTTTTAAAAAATATTTTAAACAAAGAAGAGCAGCACTAAATTACTGTTTTTAATTGGAAAAATTCAAAAATCAACACAGATTGATGTAGTGTTTCCAATGAACAATTTCACATCCGTGTTGCTGTTTGGTTTATAAAGTTTTTTAATACAACCTTAGGTGACAAATCAATGCTGACCAGAAAAGTTATTTTTCTGAGTTCTATTACTGAATAGAATGAAAGAGAGAGAGAATGGGAAATGGAGAGGAGGTGAAAACGACAACAAACAAATAAAAAAACTAACAAAAATAGTATACCATTCAACTAGTAAATATTGTGTTTATACCACTAGCTATTGCATTCCTTTGAATATCTAATGATATTCATCACAATGAATGCACATACTTACAGATACCAAAAATGTTGCATTCCATTTCAGGATGTTCTTAGATCTTTGGAGGTCTATCCTAGGTTTCCAAATAAAGAACCTCCAATTTCTACCACAGGTTTCAAAACTGTCCAGTAATACTGGTATTCTGTGACTAATTTCCAGATATAACGAAAATTAACTGCCTCACTCATGTTTTATATGCTTTAATTATTTATTAATAAATAAAATCTTAGGTAGACTAGTAGTTGGTAAATTAATATAAGCCTCTTCCTCCTACAATCACTAGATTTGCTAGGTTTAACAAAAGAACTGAAAGAAAAATTATGTAGTTTACTAAAATTCTTGATACTTGTTAATTTACTACTTCAAAAATTCCAAGCAACAAAAATAACCAAAACAGCAATGTGCATAAAATTATACATTGTAAAAGTATTCTGTGTGCTAAAATGTGAGAGGAAATCTAACCAAAAATAGATGAACAGTTAAAAAATGATAGAGATGCGTGATGAGATTTAATGCAGTAAAAATAATGACTTGTGATACTGGTACAAAATGAAAATATGTATATGGTAGTATCATATTACACATGTTATATATCATAACATGAAAATTATAACCAGGACTATGTTATAGTGGTAATGTAGAAAATTTTTTTCAGTTTTCAAATATTTCTGTAAGAGTCAAATTACCTTAAAAAAAAAAAAAAAAAAAAAAAAAAAGCCCTGGTGTTGCAAACAGTTAAGCACTCAGCTACTAATTGAAAGTTTGGCTTTTCAAATTCACCCATCCACTCAGGGAGAGAAAGACCTGGTGATCTACTTCAAATAAAGATTATAGCCAAGAAAACCCTGTTGTTCAGTTCCACTCAGTTATATGGAGTCACTATGAATTGGAATTGACTCAACAGTGTGCAACAAAAACAACAATTTAAGTCAGACAGGGAGAAGGTATAGCAGAGGAGGTGTTTCTATGATAGAAATAATAAACTTTCACCTTGTTGGAAGAAGAGAGTAGAAAAGCAGTAGTTGTAGAGACCTAGAAGCTAGGTAAGCAAAGAAGACTAGAAACGGAATTTAAATTCCATCTTTAAAATGAGAATTGGTGTGATGAGATGATTGAGAATGTGAGATGTGGCTGGGGAGGGTGAAACTTAATAAACTAGAATGGATACATAAGAAGAGAAGAAACACCACTATTTTACCAAACATGGCCTTCAAATTACATTTCTGAAATTATAAAACACTGACTACATTTTTAAATGGCCAGTTATTCTGGCACATTCATATGACAAATCATGAGCACGCTGAGATGATGGGCTAAAGTTAGTGTAACCTCTAAAACAGATGCTGTAGAGTGTTCTTGCAAAACAGCTGGAAAAAAAAAAAAAAAAACTTCCTTAAAAGTGCAATGAACAATAGCTAATTTAAAAGAAAGTTTGTACTAAACTAATCACAAATATTTTCATGGTGAATGGCTTATTTAGCCTTTATGACA